CGGGCTGGGGATTCAAACCCGCCACCTTAGGTGTACGTGGCTGGCGCCTTAGCCGGTTGAGCTATAGGCGCCGAGCCCCCATAGTCTTTTCTAATGTTCATACCCTTTAACCTAGGAATTCCATTTTGTACAAGCACACAATAACGTAAGTACAAGGATGTTCTCAGCAATACACGCTACAACCTGGAAACAACCTAAATGTCCATTAGAGGACTGGTTGAATAAATTATGGCTTATCTAAATACAGTAATGTCATGGACCTTTAAAATTATAGAATTAAATTACATGAGGTGGATTATGGAGAGAGAAAAATTTCAAGTGTAGAACAATAGGCAAAGTCTGATTACATTTAAGAAAAATAAAATCATATATATAGATTTGTGAATGCACATTAGATATGTACCACAAAATTTCTAGAAGAATATCCAAAAAACTTGATAGTTGTTATATCAGGTTGGACAGCTGACAGGGAGCATATTATATCCATTACATTTAAAGTGAAAAGAACTAGACTTTTAAAATCTTTCGTCACTAAGGTGATTGGCATTCATTTAGGAACTGGAAACATTCAGAATCAATGTTAGTGGGGAGCTCGCCCCAAAGTATATTTACATTCTATATCAAATCTTCCATCTTAAGAATTAATGGGGAAAAAAAGCAAAATAAACTCTATAGAGCAAAATTGATAAACTTATAGCTCTTTTATTACTTTATCTCAGAACATTTACACTCCCTCTGATGATGTATCCTAAAGTCTAACACTATCTTGAATAATTACTCTGAAGATGTAAGAAAAATCCTTTCATGGTGTTAATCAAACAATAATGATATCTATTAAGCATATATGCACCTAATTCTATGGGGAAAACAAATAGTATTATAGTTTTCTCAAGAAATTTGTAACAGAGTAAAAAATATTCACATAAGAAACAATTAATGCCACATAAACACATAAGCTCAGAAAAGGAGCAGCTTTTCTGATGCAGGAATGAATAGTCAGAATTCATGAAAGAAATAAGAGGGTAAATTTGGCCAGATTGAGATAAACAGAGGTGAAAGGATTACATAAAACCACTAGAAAGAACATATAGAAATAAAAACCTGAAATAAGTGACTCAGTATGAAAGAAGATGGGGACTAAAAGAAATATGAAGTAATGGTAGAATGATAAAAGAAATAAATAATAAGCTCAAGGTGACATAAATAGTAAAAACTTGGCAAAAATTAAGATTTTATAAAATTGGCAAAGAAGAATTTGGCAGCAACAGCGTACAACGCAGGGTAGACTATTTTCAAGTCTTTGCTTCTTTTTGGCTTGCTTTGTTGACATTAAAAATAAAATAACTAACATTATTTCAATACCTCATTTCCAGATTCTAGTGGTCTCTTCTTCCTTGGTCCAATAGCTGCAAGAGCTGTGAGATTAGCATCTCTATGCTGTATCTGTGCAAGCTCCAGTTGTTGTAACTAGAAGATGGAAAAAAAAATCAATATCTACACACACTCATGCTCAGAGGGAGAAAGAAACTGATCGCTAAGCCTATTTCTGTACTCTTCACCAAATACAGTTACATTATAAAATAAATATTAGATTCCCCTAAGAGCCAAAAGCACATTTCCTAATTCCTTTACTCCAACAAATCTCTTTAGTCTTTAATTTCTATATAAAACAGGCAGGAAAGTATAAAATAGGAAGGAGGTAAGGAGGAAGTATAAAATAGGAAAAAAAGAAAGGCATCTAGCTTCATTTCTCCCCATTTTAAACACAGGTAAGAGATGCCTGAACAATAAGTTGAACAGCAAATTGGAGAGAGATTAGTAACTGGTCAATGTTTTCAGATGAAACGCAAATTAGTGCTATATAATTTATAAGGTACTTCCTTAACTCTCACAGCCATATTCAAAGGTCCATATTAAAGGCTATAACGTGAGAATTATACATGTCATTCCCTTTCTACAAATAGAATCAGTGAGGTTCTAAGAAATTAGGACAATTTCATAAAAGTCACACAGGTAGTAAATGGTAGAAACAGCACTCAAAGCCAACTGTTTTTGCACTAATAAAAGACATATACAGCATCATTTAATTAAAGCAGCTAAGTGTCTAATTAGGTATTCCTTAAAGAAACAAAGTTAGAAAGTCAAAATAAAACACCACTACATATTAAGTCCTTTAGCTTTTCCAGAAGAGGAATAATGTTCATCCCCATCAAAATTTTATTATTATGAAGGGAAAAAGAGGAAAAACCTGAGGATGGTTGGCTGATAGGCACATATTCAAAGATCAAGATAGTTAATCAAAAATAACCTGTTTAGAAATGCTTATGTATATTGGGAATATTTTTCTTTTTTTTTTTTTTGAAGATTATGCATTTTTTAATTAAATCATATCTGTATACATTAATGCATTTATGGGGTACAATGTGCTGATTTTATATACAATTTAGAATGCTTACATCAAACTAGTTAACATAGCCTTCACCTCACTTGATTATTGTGTTAAGACATTTATACTCTATACTTAATAGATTTGACATGTACCCTTGCAATATGTGCCACAGGTATGGTTCCCCCCATTGGATGGAGGGAATATTTTTTGAAAAGAGTACTAACCAACTTTTAAAACACATGTTTAAGAAAAAAAGCAGGATGAAAATGGGAAATAGTTTATGGTAAAATGGTCACTCTCAAGGAAATACCAAATAAATAAACCCCACTTTAAGATCACTTCAACACTGGGCACAGTGGCTCACACCTGTAATCCTACTACTCTGGGAGGACAACGAGGCCTGAGCTCAGGAGTTTGAGACAAACCTGGGCAAGAGCAAGGACCCATTTCTACTAAAAAAAAAAAAAAAAAATAGAAAAACTAAGGAAAGAGGATAGCTTGAGCCCAAGAGTTTGAGGTTGCTGTGACCTGTGACACCACAGCACTCTACTGAGAGTAACAAAGATTGTCTCAAAAGGAAAAAAAAAAAAAAAAGAAAGCAGAAAACAAATGCTATGTTCCCAATGTTTGTACTCCTCCAAATTTCTAACACTGAAACTCTCATATCCAAGACGATAGTATTAGGAGGTGGGGCTTCTGCGGAGTGATTAATTCATACAGGTGAAATTCATAAGGTTTATAAAAATGGGATTAGAAAAGAGACCTAAGGGAGACCCTCTGCCCCTTCCACCATGTGAGAACACAAAGAGAAAGCAGATCCTAACCAGACCCAAAATCTGCTGGCACCCTGATCTTGGACTTCCCAGACTTCATAGCTAGGAGAAATAAAACCCTACTGTTTACAAGCCATCCAGTCAAGGCATGTTGTTACAGCAGCCCAAATGGACTAAAACAACAATCAATCAAAGAAAATGAACTAAGAACCATTTCCATTTTGTTACATGAATTACATGTCAGAAATCCTTCTTTTAAACTATGTGCTTACTTATAAATAAAATTTGTTTAAAAAGTGTTTTTGGAAGCTGTACAGCAGGCTTCCTCAAACTACGACCAGCGGGCCAGATGTGGCCACCGGGTGTTTTTGCCGCCACTGTCTGTCCGGCTTAGTAGCCAACTCATCCCAGGGCCCGCAGTCCGGCCTTCCAATGGTCTGAGGGACAGTGAACTGGCCCCCTGATTAAAAAGTTTGAGGACCCCTGCTGTATAGTATCTATTATTGCTGTCAACCTTTTAAATTAAAAAAAAAAAATTGTTTTAGAGTCTGATGCTGTCACAATCCAGAATTTACAGGTGATAAAATAATGGTTTTAGTTAATCTATCCTACAGCATAAATCAAAAGAGTTACATTGTAAAGTCCTTCCCTGTAAAGAAATGACATCTCTGCAGCAAGACAGTCACACCAAATAAAAAGTTTTTCAATTGACTCTAGTTTTCAAATTTCCCTATCTATGAGGTTGGACAATTAAGTTCAAAAACTCATCCGAGAAAAAGTGAACCTCATTGCTGAACATCATTGAGGTCACCTTTGAAGTACTCCACTTGGGAAGCTATGCACAGGTCCACCTTTCAAAGCAATTTTGGGAATCTCTTTGGCTATTAGAGCTATCACAGTACAAGGTCTGACAATTAAGTTTGTGAACTCATCCTAGAAAAAGTGCTTTCAGGGGTGAAGTAGGTGCTGGCATTGATCATAACTTCCTAAGGGGAGTACTTTGAAGGTGACTGCAGTGATATTCAGCAATGAGGTATGTAGCACTTTTTCTAGAATGAGTCCTCAAACTTAACTATACAACCTCATATATAGTAAAATATTTTCTCCCACTCTGCAAATTATACTTTGGTTTTCTCAAGATTCATACACAAAGTTTTGAATACACAAAACTTTAAAAAAATCTAACAAAAATAAAAATTGATTACAGTTTTGATTGACCTTGTATTTGTAAAAAACTTTTTGAAAAACAATGTATCATGGCCAACACAAAACAGAAAAACTAGGCATTTTTAACCAAACAGGAGGAAGTTCTGGGCATTAATGGAGATTTGCTATCTATAAGCAAGGATAAAGACTACAACAAGCGAATTCAGTTCAGTAAAAACAGCCTTTGAGTTAGAGATTTGCTTATAGAAACACAGTTGCAATTGGCATGATTATCTATGCAAAAACCCCCAAGTTATCTATGAAAAAAGCCCAAAAATCCTTCTAGGATGAATAAGTGAGTTTAGCAATATTGCAAGATGCAAGAATACACACAATAATCTTTCTATTTCTAAAGGTACAACTGGAAACTTAAATTTCAGATCACAGTGTCCAACCTTTTTCCTTTTCTGCCCCACACTAGAAAAACAAGTTATCTTGGGTCACACATTAAATACAGAAACACTAACAAAAGCTGATTAGCCAAAAGTAAAAAAAAAGAAAGAAAGAAAAAGTCCATGGTGAATACTTTTTGTGATATCTGACATACCTCATAAGCAACACCACAGATTGGGGGCGGGGTAAGTCCTCATAAAATCAGTAGGCTACCTGTGGGCAGAGTTTGGATACTCCTGTTTTAGACGATGCTATTTATAATAGCTCTTCCCAAAATGAAATACTGAGATATAAATCTACATGTGCAGATATTTTTATGCTATAAGCCATAAAATGCTCATAGATTTTGAAATAAACAAAAAAATAAGAAAACATAGCACAGTCATGGATTACAATTCAATATAATAAAGACTAATTCTCTCCAAATTGATCTACCACATTTAACCCAATTTCAATAATATTTTTTTATATATAGAAGCTGATTCTAAAGTTTATATGGAAAGGCAACCAATTTAGAATAGCTAAATCAACTTTGAAAAAAAGAAAATTAGAAGAAAATCACCACCTGATTCTGACTTCCTAAAAGCCTACCATAACTAAAATAACATAGCACTGGCAAAGACATATAAATTAATGGAACAAAAGAGAGAATCCAGAAATAAGATCCATGAGTAAGGCCACTTGGTTCTTGGCCAGGTCGGAAAACAAAGCAGTTGAGAAATGGCAAAGTTCTCTCCCTGACCAAACATCTGAACCCTCTTCTCAACCGTTTTCTCAAATACTAACATAGTTTTAACAGCTCAAGGTCACATCCCTAGGATGACCCTAACCTACCCTTAAAGGGCCTACCTGAGAAACTCAAAGCTGGCAGAGGAATTTACTATTATATTGTCAACAGCTATAGATAGATAAGGCCCCCTTATCCCAGCCTATGTAGAAGGGTAGGAACCTAGCTTCTAAGCACCAGTTAGCAAACTCAGATGGGTTTCAATGGTCCACCCTCATTCCCACTTTAAATTTTTCACTTCCCTGACTCTACTGAGCCACCACTCACCTCTCTCCTTACTCTTATTCTCCCCTTAAAATGCCCAGTCAGGCCAGGGCACTGCTCCCACCTGTAATCCCAGCACTCTGGAAGGCCTAGGTGGTACACTGGTTGAGCTCACAAGTTCAGACCAGCCTGAAAAAGAGTGAGACTCCTTTTCTATTTCAAAATTAATAAAGAAAAGAAAGGAAGAAAATGGCTGGGAGCAGTGGCTCCCACCTGTAATCTAGCACTCTGGGAGACCAAGGCAGGTGAACAGCCTGAGCTCAGGAGTTCCAGACCAGCCTGATCAACAGAGAGATCCCATCTCTAAACATAGCCAGGCATTATGGCAGGTGCCTATAGTCCCAGCTACTTGGAAGGCTGAGGATTACATGAACCCAAGAGTTTGAGGTTCTATGAGCTATGAAGCCATGACACTCTACCAAGGGTGACAGTGAGACTCAGTCACACATCACCCCCCAAAAAATAAAGAAAAAATATATATAAACAAAATGCCCAGATACCTCTGTACAAATCAAGTGAAGCACAAACTGGACTCTTCCCTATAGCAAAAATGTATTACTAACTAAAATCTGTCCCCACCACATTAGCGTCTGGCATACATAGTATTTTTAACAAATGCTGGAACATGACATCCATGTGCCAAAAGCCCCACCAA